GGACTTACTTGAGAAAGTGGAAAACTACTAAAAATATAGTTACTTCCTTAAAAGCAAATGTTAAAGAGCCACTCTGTTAAAGACAAATGATTGTTTTTTTTTGTGTGTTTTGTTGCCTTCTTGCTGTTTAAGCGTTTTAACTTTTACTTGCATGAAATAGTGGAATAAAGTGTTACTTTTTAAATTGTTAAAAATTTTTCCATTTTTTGCTCTTCCCTACGTGTTTTTTAGCAAATTTAGTGTCATTTTTATTCGCAAAATTCTTCCATACTTACAAACCTGCAGACGCGCATTCTGGCGTAAACATCGGTGAAAATTGCGATGCACTAGCAACGAAATACTGCGGTCTCAAAATCCGGCCTGAAAAACCCTAGTGAAACGAGCGTGGAAGATCTTGCATGAAACAAATGCTGGTGTAAGTTGCGTGATGATATTGCGAATTTGCACTGGATCAAGGCCAATGACGAACGCAACAACTCCGCGAAAAGCTGCCTTTCTAGTAAAGTAACGACACGTGCATAAAGCACCCTTAATCCAAACACAGGAATTTTTTTGATAGGAAATATTAGAAGGGATGGCCAGCTACAGCTCCTTTTTTAGAAAGCCGGCTCAATCGCTACTCAGAGACAAGCAATATTAAAAGCTCTAAACTGACATTACGAATGCAAAGTAAGTGAAGTGGGCCTGCTGAAAGTTTGGTTGTGACCTCAGTTGTCATCAAATTTCGATTCTAATTTCTTCCAAGTTTTGCTCAGATTTTACAGCGATCAAGTAAGGATTGTGACTGACAATACTTTACGGCGTAGCCATAAGCTCTTTCTCCAAAAAATTCTGCTGGAAGCACAGAGTAACATTACGAGTTTTCATTTTATTTTTCACTCAACACTTCACAAAGATCAATGAAGCGACTGGTATATTGTACAGTATTGTAAAGAAAAAAGTAAATGAGACAATTTGGGCCGAGATCATAGCAGTTTAGCCACCAGCTGATGCAGCTTCGGCTATAGCAACTAAGAGACAGACGAGCTAAAGCTTTCAAAATATTCCGAAACCTCGAAACCCTCTTCGTATTCAATTTCTCTGAGGGGCGGAGGCATTCAGTAGTATTATGAGAGTAGCAAGTGCCAAGAGCAACCATCTTCTGGCAATGTCTTGGAAGCTTTTTCTTTTGAGGTTGCTCTCTCGTATTTTTCAAAAAAAAAGAGACTTGTCTGGTACTTTTGCAGTGAAGTACGCCTGTTTCCCTTCTTCCGGAACTCCCGCTCGGAGCAGTTTTTTGGTGCTGCAGGATTTATGCTCGAAATGCGCGCTATAATGCTTGGGGCAACAGTCTGAAGCACTAGATCTAACAAGATGCAATTATAGGACGTTCACAGCCTAGCCTTGTTCTCGAGTTCTAGGCAAACTGCCTTTAGTTTGATTAAAAGCACAACACTATCGTTCCGGAAACTCCCGTCATTGACGAGGTCCATTTATTGGTGCGATTTGAACAAAGCTGGCTGCGGCTTTTCCTCACAGCGGAATTTGCTTACTGCCGTTTTCTGGGACAGATAAGTATCTGCCAAGTTTCTACATCAACATGCATGAGAATTGTAAGAAATGCGCTAAGGAGTTATAAAGGCTGTATGTATTCCAGTGAGTTGTAATCTTCAGTGACTGTTGCTGGCTCAATCGGTGTTCTCGGAGCATCACCACATGAGCGGATGCTATCGGGAGTGCTACACCGCTGCGGTGGATGATCACCGGCAGCACCGTCATGCTCGTAGAAATCGTTCATAAACAGCGCAATGAAATCATCCGGAAAAAATGATATGCCGAGCACAATTTGCCAGATGACCAGTGGTACCATTAGCTGTACGAGGACCACT